GACCATGATATGTGGAGCTTTTTTGAAGAAACTGCTATTGTGAAAGAAATTTGCAATCTTGAGTCCACTGATTATTGGCTATGGTGGTATAACATTGTATCGGGTAAGCATGCAAGGATGGTTAGTGATATGGATGTTGCTGAGGTCTATGAAAAAGTTGTTGAAACTAATTGTAGTATGGATTTATATGTTGAGCTAGGGTAGTTGTAGTTGAAAATAACGTTGATGGTGCCAATAATGTTAATGTTAATGATGACAATGGTATTGTTGATATTGTTGATGATATTGAAGTTGATAATGATATTGAAGCTGATAATGTTTATGAATCTATAAATGTTGATGAATCTGACAAGGTTGATGAATCTTCCAAGGTTGATGAAAACCTTGATGGTGTTGAAGTAGATGGTAGTGATGATAGTGATGATAGTGATTATAATGGTTTATCATTTGAGGACAGTGGGGATGAAAGGGCCCTTGGCATGGATGATGGATTTGATGTAGTAGAGAAACCACCTAAAAGGGTTAAGTAGATAGCAAGGAAACACAGGAATACTCCAACAAATATAATAAATGTCACTGGAGGTTCATCAAGTGGAGTTAGTGTTGGTAATGAAGGCCTTGAAACTAATTATTCAAGTGATAATCTTGGGAGTAGTGATCCTGATGCATCAGATGAAGAGAAAGGAGAAAAATATCCTAGGTTTAAGATGGAGGAGTTAGACAGGGACTACAAATTCAAAGTTGGTTTGGAGTTTGTATCTCTGCATGAATTTAAGGAGGCTATAAATCAATGGTCAGTATTAAATGGGAGAGAGATAAAGTATGTGAAAAATGAAAAGGTTAGAGCGAGAGTAATTTGCAAGGGCAATTGTGGGTTTTTGGCTCTTGTTAGTAAAGTGGGGAATAAACACACGTATAAATTGAAGAAATGGTTTGGCCCTCACACGTGTGGTAGGGTTTTGAATAACACCACTACTAACTCCAAGTGGATTACAAAGACTGTGGCGGCTAGGATGGCATCATCTCATGGAATCAAGCTTTGTGATATTGTCTCTGAGATTAAGAATACTTACTTTGTGGGCATAAGTATGAGCAGGGCATGAAAAGCTAATAAAATTGCAAAAGCTTTGGTTGAAGGTGATACAACAAAGCAATACACAATATTGTAGAGGTATTCTGCAGAATTAAGGAGGGCTAACGCTGGGAACACCTACAAAATTAATGTCATAAGAGTTGGTCCAACAATACAACCTAGATTTGGCTGCTTTTATTTTTGCTTTGATGGAATCAAGAAAGGATTCACTACTACTTGCAGACCATTCATTGGTGTAGATGGTTGTCACCTAAAGACAAAATATGGAGGCACCCTACTTGTTGATGTTGGAAGGGACCCTAACGACTAATATTACCCGTTGGATTTTGGTGTATGTGAGACTGAGACAAAGGAGTCATGGAGGTGGTTCATGACTTTACTTTTGGAAGACATTGGACAAGACGAAAGATGGTTATTCATTTTAGACCAGTAAAAGGTACCTCTCAGATCTAGTTTTTTAAAATTCATCCTTGATACATGCAATTATGTTTTGATTTGGACCCTGAAACATAATTATTTTAATGGAAATCAATCGTGAACATGTCACTTTGTTTTGAATTATGTCCATTATACTATTGTTTGTTTTGATTTCAAGGGCTTAGTTCCTGTGTTTGAAGAGATGTTTGAGAGGGTGGAGCATAGGCTTTGTCTTAGGCATTTATATGTCGATTTCAAAAAGAAGTTTGGTGGTGGCACAGAGATAAGATATTTGATGATGGTTGCAGTAAAGGCCACATATATACAAGCATGGGAAGCAAAGATGAAAGAGTTAAAGGTGTTTAATCCTAAGGCTTGGGAGTTGTTGATCAAAATACCTACAAAATTATGGTGTAAACATGCTTTCTCATTCTATACAAAATGTGATGTGCTAATGAATAATGTATCTGAAGCTTTTAATAGCACAATACTTGTGGCTAAGGATAAACCAATCTTAATCATATGTGAACGAATAAGAAACTATCTAATGACTAGAAATGCTAACCTAAGATAAAAAGTTTATAGGTGGAAACATAGGATAATGCCAAGACCTAGAATTAGGTTAGATAAAGAGGTAGAACTTGGTGGTAATTGGATTCTAAATTGGTCTGGTGATACTATTTGGAAAGTTGAACATATCCATAGCAAACATAGCTTCATGGTTGACACTTCTAAAAGAACTTATACCTGTAACTTTTGCGAGTTGATAGGCATACCATGTAGACTTGCAGTGGCTTCCTTAGGCTTTAGAAACCAACGCCCAGAAGACTATGTATATTACTCTTACTCAAAACAAACATATGTCACATGCTATTATGTTAATGTTAGCCCAATTAATGGCCAAGACATGTGGCCTGAGGTGAATGCTGAGGAGTTGTTGCCTCCACCATATAAAAGAGGCCCTGGTAGGCCCAAGAAAATAAGGAGGAGGGAACCTGATGAGGACCCTAACAAGGGAAGGATACAGACATCATATTGTTGTACCAATTGTGGTGTACATGGCCAAAATGCAAGAAGTTGTTCAGCATTGGTGCCTGGCCCTGAAGCTCAAAAAAGAAAGGTAAGTTCTTAGCTCAATCATGTATTCTTACTAACTGTTAACAACTGATATTAATTGCATTACTCTGTATGCAGAAAAAACCAAAGAAAAATGCTACACAAACAACACAACTTGAACCAACTGTAGCAGAACAAACAACTCATGTTGAAGGTAAAGCTTCTACTAAACAGCAACAACCTCATGATAAGCCCTCACCTCAACAACAGCCAGAAACACAATGTGATATGGACCAGGAGTTTGAAATGCTTGCAACAGATCTTTGTGCATCTTTTTAAACAACACAACCTCAACCCAATGTCAATGATATTACTTCCCAAGTTCCATCTCCAGTTGCTAATGACCACGTTTCAACTGCTGAGATTGCACCTGTAATGGCTTCACAAGTAGTTGCTTACTCACAACCAACTACATTCTGTCTGCACCTATTCAAGATGTTGAGGCTACATCTAATGAACCTGTTTCTTCTCTCCCTAAACCAGTTGAGTCTGTTACTTACTAATTCAGTTAAGATGTATTCTCAATTTTATTGATATTTTCATTATTTTATCTGTTTTAATTATGTCTTTGTAGGCCAAAAAACCAAAACAAAAATTGGCAAGGAAGTTGGAGTTGAGGAGGAGTGATACAACTAGAATATTCAAATGCAAAAAACTCAAGGGAGAAGGAAGCAGTGCGACACAACCATGAAAATTGTAGACATTGGACTGATTTTATGTATTTTGTATTAAGACTTTTTGTACACCTAATGAACCTGTTTCAGCTTAAGACTTGTTGTTTTCTATTATGTATTTTGATTAGAACCATTATGTATTTTGTATTATGGCTTTAGTCTTGGAGATTGAACTTTTATGTTTTGGATATAACCATGTACTATGACTTAAGTCTTTATGTGTATTTTAGATGCAGTATCAGTTTATTTTATGCACAATTGAGGTTGCCTTTAACCAATTTGCTTTTTATGCACATTATCAAATTTAGTCTATGCACAATTCAAAACAGGATGAGCAATATAGTTTCATACATATAATGTCAAAAATCAAAACACCTTTTTTCATTTATCATATGGTACAGGGACCATTACCAAAATACATTAATGTTACAAGGACTTAAACTAAGAAACAACAACCAGACACAAATAAATGTATTTCACCACCAATTGTGATAAGAAAAGAAGAACAACCATGACACAAACAACAAAACCTTCAACAGAGTCGCCTTTCGCTTCTTCTTCTCTAACTTAATCTTCATCTTGTCCTTCTTGCCAATCTCAATCTCCTTAACAATAGACTATAAATTTTTCAACATATCCGAGCAGTTGCACCCACTTGAACTTCTAACATCAGTACCTGGATTTCGTTCAAGCTCATTGTCCAATAGAAATAACTTGCAACCAGACATTAACCCTAAATTTTGACACTTCCAAAATCTCCTTTTAGAGTTTTCAACGAAGTTTAACATAAACACTTTCATGCTTCTTTTGCAACCACAAACGGGTGCTTGAACGTGATGTGAGTTAGCAGACGGAGAAGAAGCCATGGATGAATGGAAGAAGAGAGTTATGAGAAGAAGAACGTAAAGGAGAAGAACATGAAAATGACATTTTTTTTATTCAGTCTCTATTTAATAAACTGTAAAGAGGACAATTACACATGTGTTAACAAAAAGAAAATAAAAAATGACAAAACATTATCCATATCATCACCGTCTGCCAACTCAACTTTTTTTTAAAGTTCCATTGACAGCAATGACTTTATCCAACAAGAATTGGAGATATTGAAACTTGGACAGAAAAAACAAAGATTTATATACTAAAACCAAAAACACGCTACCTTACATGGACGGAAACAATATATATATCCAAAAGACAACATTTTGGGATTTTTAGAGGCTTATAATCAGTAAATTGTGCTGGCTATTTTTACTTTGTCTTAGGAATCAAAAAATAGTTATTATTTAAGTTGAGTGATGCAGGATATATTCGACTTAACTTAGACCAACTGAAAAAATAAACATGAAAATTGCCACAACTTTCAATTAAAGGAATAAGTTGAGTAAGTTAAAATAGCAGCTACTGACAATGGATATATCAAGATAGATTTTGTTTATTTTAAAAAGAAAGTGAAATTTCTCTCCCAATTATGAAAGGTTGTTTCTTCCTCGAGATATTTCATTATCTTCTTCATAATGAAAATAACACCCTTGATCACATTACCATATTCTAAAAACTAGAGTGCTTGCACATAAACAAATATTGATTATCCCATTATCACTAATAATAATGCTGAAAGAAAGATGATTCTAAAGCAGAACAAGCAAAATGAAATTCCCAGTTTCCTCGAGCAATAGTTTAAACTTTGAAGCGACGATTTCTCAGTAAAGTTCACCTTCCTTGTGAGTTTGGATAACACAATCAGCTGTTGGATATGAAACACAGGTAAGCACAAAGCCTTCCTTAAGTTGAGTATCGTCCAAGAAAGAGCCATCAGATTGATCGACTGAGCCAGAAACAACCTTTCCAGCACAAGTAGAGCACGCTCCAGCACGGCACGAGTAAGGGAGTTCAACTCCTGCATTCTCCGCTGCATCTAGGATGTAAACATCATCCGGGGCTTCAAACTCGTCCTCTTTCCCATCAGGTCCAATTAGCTTAACCTTGTAAGCAGCCATGGCAGTTGTTCTATATGAAGAGGATGACTTCAAGCCAAAAGATCTGGATACAGTTCTCGTCGACCCGAAAGAGGAAGGGCATTTCACTACAGTAGTACGGCTTGCGGGTTGAAACATGCATAGTGGGGAAGCATTCACAGCTGAGATGGATGCCATTATTGCCTGAAAATAAATCAATAGAACAAGAACCAATAGATTATATATAATCATGAACAAAATATTGGAAACCGAATTGAACCCTTAATATCCACAACTAATCTTATGCCTAAACCCTAAGCTCAAAATAACGAAAACCTAGATTTATCAAATCAAACCCCAAAACCCCCATAAAAAACCCTGATCAAGGGTTGATGAAGAGGAATAACATAACCAGTTTAGATAAATTGCAGAGTATAATAATAATAATGATAATAATCTATATTAAACAAAAAAAGTGAAGGATGATTGAAGAGCTTACAGAGGAGGAGGAGATGGAAGCGGAAAAAACGAAGTGAGAGAGAGAAAGTGAGGGTTTTAGGTTGTATTTATTTTATTTTATTGGGCGTAATAAATATATATTGTTGTTGAAACAGAAGGAATATGTTTACTCGACTCACCCACAGATTCGCTATTCGCCGCCCCCAAACCCACCAACTTTATAAAATTATTCATAGAGTTTCTTTTATGATTTATCTAATTATACGTCCTCTTTTTTTATATATATAATAATATATTTATTTTTTAGGAAGATAGTAGATTAGAAGAAATCGGCAAAGATATATAATATTAATTATCTTTTTCTAATTTTTTATTGGTATTATAATTTTGTCATTGAACACTAGACCATTTTTTTAATCTTTTATTATAAATAAAATTTGTATTTTTCTATTTTAATTTCGTAACTCTATTTATTTTCTATTTCTATGATTAATTTAATGTTAAATATAACTCATCTATTTTTTTTAATTATATATTTTATAAAATTTATTTTAAAATTTTAAAAATATTATAAAACATCAAAACAACTAAATTATATTATAAGCTACAGATGTAATTTATATAAAAAATATTTATATTAATATTTTTTAAATTATATTAATTATAATTGATATTTAAATAAAAATAATCGTGTATCGCACGAATATACATCTAATTTTTTTTAAACGTGTAAAAAGTTACTTTAAGAATTCGATTTCAAAATTAAATTAATATTTAAATTAAAGTTTTTTTATCTCTTAATTTAACAAAAACTTAAGTTAGTATTTTTGTAAAACTTTTTTTTACAAGGCTAAGAAACAGAAGAAAAGAAACTGATAGTACGGATCATCGATGGCCTACAAGCTTGGATTTAACGGTGGTTGAAAATGAAGTGGAGGGATACCTGCAAGATGCTCTGATGTTAAAGTAAGTATCTAAATTATAATGCAAGCAGGGAATTTAAGTGAGTAGTAATTAATGTACCTGATCCTCTCGTATGAGAGGGTATTTATAGCCCTCAGTATTGGGCCAAAATCTACGCATTGGGTCGGATAGTTAGGCCTAATAACGAAGACTGTCAGGGTTACGTGAGTAGTGGAAACTAACATGTGGCCTCCTCCCTGGTCAATTGCTCTGAGATAGTAGGGAAGTTATGGACTCATTATTCTCGATGAGCAGGATGATGGTAACTCCGAATAATTGTTGGCCACGTCTCCTTGGTGGACATGTGGGGAACTCCCCAACGGTTGTAGACTTGGGCCATACGTTATTGGGCCACGTCTCCTTGGTGGACATGTGGGGAACTCCCCAACGGTTGTAGACTTGGGCCACACGAGTCCCCCAAGTTATTACTCTTAGGCGAAAGAGCGGTGACTTATGGCCAACTTAATTGTCAGCGAGAGGCTACCCAACAAAGGGACTGTTAACTTTCGTCAGGGTCGCCACCGACACTCAAGGTCGAAAACCTAATCAAAATAATCACTGTGTTTCGGTCGGGGACAATGTGGTCGTCCAAATTATCGATTTCTTCGTCCATTTTTCGTGATCGTGCATTCGTTCTCGGCTACAAAGGTATGCGCGTACCGCGGCCGATTTATTTTGAAGGACTTTCCTTGGTCGATTTGTTAGCTGCCCGACTTGATGCAGGTTTGTTTGAGATTCGTGTTCGTAAGGTAAACACAGGGTTTTTCTCGGGCTTATATTCATGATGTGCCCATAAAAAAGGCGCCATGATGAGGTCGAGCATGTGTTCGTCAACGAAGACTTGAAATGGCACCAGCGTGTGATTTCACGCATGGGATATTTGAAGTCAAAATGACGTATTACTTTGCGTGACACGTGGAAGCTATTTAAAGCGTCATCATTGTCTATGGAAGTCTAGAGGTCTAAGTAATGATGACCCCTCGCACACTACCCCATGTGGTGGGGGAGTATCTATAAAAAAGAGGTGACAAAATTTACTTAGACATTTTCGACTTTTCTCTCCCGTCGTCTCTTCTACATTCGCTAGCTGCTCCGTCGTTTCCGCGATCATCGTAGAATTTTCCAGCATTCTTCCTTTTTCAAGTAAGTGGTCCTTTCAAACGTATGTTAATTTATCTTGGTATTTTAGATTGAACGTGTTGCACCCCAAAATTTGTCCTCTCATTTTATTCAAAACATGCTCATTGAGGTCCTTAATTTGCTCAAGGATTGACCAGACAAATCAACCTCCTAAGACAATGAACCTTCAACTAGGGCTTCCATTTTCATCAAGATGTTTGAGTTCCAAGGGTCCCAAATGAGTTCCATTGCCCTAATATTTTCTCAAGATCATCCATGCCAAGTTTCATGCCTTGCACTACAAGTTTGCTCAGTCCACTGCTCAGATGCCTGAAAATCAATTGTGTTAGGTCTAAAGTCAATTGTGGCCCACATACAGTCAAACTTCAAGATTTTTGGTCAACATCAATATTTTGAAGTAACATCCATCATGTGATCAAGGGTTAATCATTATTCCTGATAACACGAAATCGTATCGTTTATTTGCTATGAAATTCGTCCGTTTTGTATTATTTTGACCCGATTAATTCCCGAATATTTCGAGTTTGTCATCACTTTTGCAGGTATTTCATAATTGAGCTCAAAATAGAAGAAAACATGAAACAATGCAAGAAAGCATCAAAAGAACAGAAGAAAAGAATAAATCTGTCAAAGAACTGCACTTTTGTAGCTGTGACAGTCGTAATGAAGCTGCCACGACCGTAAGCCAGTTTGAAGAGTGTTACGACCGTAACACAGTGGCCACGACCGTAACACGGGAAAGACCAAAATCTGCTCGTAACGCCAATGTAACGAACGTAATGCGTATAATACTTCACTTGGAAAATGCAGAACGTGGCAAGCATAACAGAAGGAGTTTCCAAACTCCTTAATTCTCTCCAGTCAAACACCACGTTCACCATTTCTCCCTCAACTACTAGGTTACTATATTTTTGGAGATTTTGAAGGAAGACTGAGTTCCAAGTTTGACAAACCAACTGCCAGATTTTATTCTTCTATAAATACCTCAATATTGAACAAAAAAAGCACGGAGTTTTATTACAGCTTATTTGTGCCGAAGCTCTGCCAAAATTGAAACCAGTATTATTTCAGTATTCATTTTCCAGCATTTATTTATTTCAATTCTTTTAAATTCCACTGTCCAAATAATAATTTCCAACATTAGGGAATTATTATTCTAGTTTAAGATTTATCATTCAAGCTTCAGAATTTGCAATACTCCCGATACCAAGTCCGAGTTTCCGATTTGTGGAAGAAGGATTGAAGTATTGGCTTTACTGTCAGGTTTTTATTTTGCAATTGTATTAAATTCATTTTAATTAATTTATTAATGCATGCTTGTTATTTATTATTTATAATGTCCAATTTATATTTGCTTGCTTTTATTTACAGTATGTTTATTTTGATTTCCATGGCTAGCTAAACCTTTAGTGTCGGTATGGAATAGTAAAGACATTAGGCTTCTAATCAAACTTAGACTAAAACTTTAATCAACTTAACTCCGGTTATAACTTTTTATGCTTAATAATAAAATCTTTGTTACGAAAATAAGAAGAGTAAATAGGTTAAATCGAGACCACGAAAGTGTGAGGTTTTTAACCGGATAGCTAAAGTTAGGCATTTGATTTAAATACAGTGAAAGCGCTTTAAACCAAATTAGAATTAATTAAGTTTCCAAAAAATACTTCTAAACACTTATAGGCTAGCGAAAGCAGGTATAGGGCTTTAGACGTATAATCCGAGATAAGACCATGAAAGTGTGAGTTGAGGGTTTTTAAACTGATTAATTCTACGGATAAACTAAGTTGACCATCCTTATATGCCTAGGCCCGATTAGATCCCTTAGGTTGACTCTATTGCATACCGACCGTTCATTTTATAATTACTTTAAAATCAATTAATTTACCTTCCTTAATTTTCCCAAAACCAACGTGACAATTTCCGCCTTAGCTAAACCAACCTGTTTTACAACACTAGCGTGATTACAAAGTCCATGTGGGTTCGATATCTTTTAAAACTACGCGATAGGCTGTGCGCTTGCAGTTAAGATACCATCAGACATTAAGTCGATCGCAGACCCCATCAAGTTTTTGGCGCCGTTGCCGGGGACTTTAGTTTAGTCACTAGTGTAATCTGAAAACAACGCTGTCTAGACTAAGGCAACTTTTTACATTTCCCTCTGTGTATGCCAAACACTCGTTCTCAAAGCGAGCCTTTGCATTTACAAATTAACGATATCGAGCGTTACTTAAGATTAAGACGCCGAATTCAAGAATACCGATCTCTTAATAATCTTCCTCCAACAAAAATTCCTGATATCCCGTTATCAGAATCTACCGAAGAATCGACAATGGCTGACGTACCAAATCCGCCTCGCGCTCTTAAGGACTATGCAGTTCCTTCGCAAGCGGAGCCTCACAACAGAATTGCCGCCCCTGCTATCGCTTGAAACGATTTCGAGCTGAAACCTTCGCTTCTATCCGCCGTTCAGCAGAATCAATTTTCTGGATCTCCTACTGACGACCCTAATCTACATCTGTCAGTGTTTGTGCAGTACGCAGACACTGTAAAAGCGAATGGTGTAAACCCCGAGGCAATACGATTGCGCCTATTTCATTTTTCTTTAAGAGACAGAGCCCGAGCCTGGCTCCAATCCC